GGTCAAAACCAAGCCAAATGAAACCCATATAGAGTCATTAAGCCATTTTTAAAAGATTTAACTGCCGCCTAATAAGAATGTCAAATGAATCTCAAATCTGACAGCTTATAGTCAAATTGAGTGTCTTGACAAGATAAATCCAACGAGCCGAAAATCAATCAATTTGACATTTAAGGCACTTAAATGTCCACAGGACACCGTTCGATTGAGAGAACCTCTCCAAGCCATTCGATAGACTCATTCGTCCTTCCTAATTTGCAAGGAGTATCTCCCAAACTACATAAATAGTCATGCCCCTCTCTTGAGAGGGGAGCTAGACCTTGAATCAAAGGAAGACAGGAGCTTGGATAAAGAGTTGAAACCCCATGTTCTACGTCGAAGGTTCAATGAATGTTGCCCGCTCCTGCAGTCATTGACCACTGCCGACCACCGTTTATTGGTCGTCGTTGACCATCATCCGCGGTCGTCTGCCTCTTACGACAAAATCCACTGTAGAGTCACAACGTATGTTGCAAGATCCCAGCATATGGCATGGAACAGCAAAGCACCTAGCGGAGCAGTACGACGTCCTGTACACCAATCAACGATGCACCTCAAAGACAGTGTACTGGAGTTCCAGCAACTATTCCCAACAACAATCTCCCGACCATTGTACAACAAATATTGTACCTTGAAGAACTGTGTAGTTCTTTCCTGCATGTGGGACGAGGACCCTTGCGTGTAATCATTAATTCATAATGGATTACTCTAACTGGGCTAAGTCCCGTTGTTTTTTCACTTTCCAGATTTTTCACATAAAAACTTATGGTACATATCACTTTTTTTATTTGAGTACGTGTTAGATTCTCTTGCAGTGCTAAGATAATAATTCATTACTCTATCATCGCGAATCTTATAACACGCACCAGTTTGACGGCGTATGTGGGAAAGACAATCATGCCGCTAAAGTACTTGCGAGACTTGTTGAATAGCCACCAGATGCAATACTCGCAACAATGAAACATCTCGCTCCAAAACCCGCCATTCCAAGGGAGAGACATGGAGCCAAGGGTGTTAGACCCTGCATCTTCCCATCTTGGAAGGCATTGCCCTGCTAGCGAGGTCATCTTAGGTCCTTATTAGAAGACAATGCACGGGATGGAGTTTCAACTGGAGATTCTCTAGGTCTTTCGCAGAGCTCAACAGTCACTACCCACCCAACTCAACAGCCGCAACGATGAGATTCCTCCTCCATCGGGACAAGACGCTGACCTTCTTTATCCTGCAAGTTCCACTGATCCATCTCGTGCAACTCACCTGACACCGCCCCATCTCGTCGTCGCTCCTGATGATGTCAATCGTGACGAGCTACGATAGCTGATTTGGAAATAGTTCCCTCTAATGGATAAGAATTGTTTCCCCGCTCGTCTCAACTTTCAAGAATCTTCAAATTTGGTCGAGGCGGTCCTCCAACACCTCATCCCAGTGGGTTTCAAGCTCCCAAGCATTAATTCCAATGAAGAGGAAACTAACTCTTACGAGCACATTGACTGCTATGGAACCATTATACACATTCGACGTGCATCTAATGTGCTTCTGTCAAGTGTTCTCTCTACTACTCTCAAGGGTCAAGCTCGCACCTGGTTCTACTCTCTTCTATTAAGGCATCATCAGCACCTTCAATGAGTTTGTCAGACTATTCGTGGAGCAGTTCACAGCCAACCAAATCAAGCATTCATCCATGTCTCCGCAATACACCAGAACAAGGGAGAGTTGCTCAAGGACTGCATATGTAGATTCTCCATTGAAGCTCAGTAGATTCTAGGGGTATATCTAAAGTTGTTGAGAGAAGTCTTCCTAGTATGGCTTCGTCCAGGACCTTTCTACTCATCATTGATGCAGGAGATTGTCCACTCTTACATTGACCTCATTCAAGCAAAGTGAATATAGAGTTTGTTACTGAAACATTTTATATATTAATTTGTTTTTTACTTAAGGTGGGTTTATGCTAATTAACCACACAATGCGTAGAAGCAAGACTATTTGGGTCAAGTCGGTTGATTATGCAATAAAAAAAATGAAAAAAATGCTTTTATATACGATGTTTTAATTAAATGTCATTAGATATATAATGAATGTCATGGGTTAGAAACTATGATTATATTTGAAAGAGAATTTGATTGAAAATACAGTTGAAGGAAAACATCTAAATTAATTAAGTATTAGTCAGTTATTTTAGAAAAAAAGATCCTTCTTCGTGAACTTTTAATTGATATAGATGATGGTCAAAGGAAGTAAAGGATTAATCATAAGTCTTCTAAAGGTCAAATTGAGTAATTATTACTTTATTTGCATTCAATTAATTTCTTTAGTTTTTAAAATATTTCATTTAGTACAAATATTAAAAGAACTCTTAGAGCTAGGACTGTCAAAACGGCTCGTTGTTCGCGAACAGCTCGTGTTCGACTCGTTAAGAAGCTCGTGTTCGACTCGTTAATTTTGTTCGATAAGTTAACG